GCTTCTACACTTAGCAATCCAGGCTGAACAACATATCAAGAGGAAGACACCCTCTACAAATCGAAGCAAGAGTACTTTGACTCCACAAGCTCAGTGAAACGTGGACAAAAGAAAGTTCATAGAAGTGGACTCAGAGTTCAAGAGACCAGCACTACAAATGTCTAAAGGGTCCAAACCCGAGCAAGGTAAGTTTCTTAGTCAATAAAATACTAGATCTCATGACATTATTTGTTTTAAATTTTAGAGTAAAGGATACCATGCATGAAACTGTCCAAACTAGAGGGTTATGATCCTTACACCCAATGGAGAGTATGAATCTCAAGATGAAGCTGATGAAGGACTAGAGGGATCAGAGGACGATGTAGTCAACTACCCTGAAGTAGGAGAACTACTTGTCGTGAGGAGAGTCCTCAATGTGCTTATTGATCCAGAAGCTGTTCGAAGAGCAAACATCTTCCACTCCAAATGCACCACAAATTCAAAGGTATGCAGTTTAATAATTGATGGAGTGTCTTGCACTACAGCTAGTACTTGGTTGAGAAGTTAGATTTTCAAAGAACAAAGCATCCCCACCCTTACAAGCTGAGATGGCTCAGCGATGACACGCTCAGGATTGCCGAACAAATCATGATTCCATTCAACATCGGCAAGTATTCGGATCAGGTTGTGTGTGATGTAGTCCCAATGCAAGCAGACCATCCACTACTATGGAGGTCGTGGCAGTTTGATAAAGAAACCATGCACAATGGGCGGACCAACCATTAAAATTTCACTTACAACAACCGTAAGCACAACTTAGCATCCCTCACCCCACAAGAAGTGCATGCAATGCAAAGATCTATAGCCAAAGGCTCCAAAGTTAGTTAAACTAACCTAAATATGATATCTCATAGTGTTTTTAAATCTCTTAACTTAAAAGAAAAGGCGCTACTAATGGTGTTCAAAGAAGAGTTGTTTTCAGTTCAAGAAGAAACCAAGCTACCACCAGAAGTACATAAGCTGCTTGACCGTTTTGAAGATGTCTTTCCGGCTGACATCCCACCAGGCTTACCACCGGTGAAAGGTATTGAACACCAGATAGACTTGGTACTAGGCACACCCCTTTCCAGCCGAGCCGATTATAGAGTGAATTCTGAGGAGACTAAGGAACTGTAGAAGCAAGTACAAGACCTTATGTCCAAAGGCTACATCAGAGAGAGCTTGAGCCCTTGTGCGGTTCTAGTCCTTGTGCCAAAGAAAGATGGATCTTGGAGGATGTGTGTGGTTTGCTGAGCTGTAAACAACATTACCATCAAGTATATGTATCTGATTCCCAGGCTTGATGACATGCTAGATGAGTTTAATGGAGCCACCATCGTCTCAAAAATCAATTTAAGTAGTGGCTACCATCAAGTAAAGATGAAGGAAGGTGATTGAAAACTGCATTTAAGACAAAAAGAGGCTTGTATGAATGGTTTTTCATGCCATTTGGACTTACAAACGCATTCAACACCTTCATGAGACTGATGAATCACGTCCTAAGGGCATATATCTGTAAGTTTCTAGTTTTTTATTTTGACCACATACTGGTTTACAGTACCTGCCTTGATGATCATTTGAAACATTTGAAATGCTTTGGCTAGAGCAATTATATACTAACCTTAAGAAATGCACCTTTTGCATTGATCAAGTAGTATTTTTAGGATTTTTTTTGAGTTCTCAGGGACTAAAGTTTGATGAGGAGAAGATCAAAACCATACAAGAATGGCCAACTCCATCAACAATTAGGCATGTACGAAGTTTCTATAGACTGGCTAGCTTCTACCAAAAATTATCAAAGACTTCAGTACTATTTCCACCCCACTCACATCAGTAATCAAGAAGAATGTTGCTTTCAAATAGGGACCAGCACAAGAAGAAGCATTCAACAAACTCAAAGAGAGTCTCACCCATGCATTACTTTCGGTACTACCTAACTTTGATAGAACTTTTGAGATTGATTGTGATGCATCAGGATAGAAGCTGTCCTAACTCAATGAGGACAACCAGTGGCTTACATCAATGAGAAGTTCAATGGGGCAGCTTTGAACTATCCTACTTATGACAAAGAGCTTTATGCTTTGGTAATATCTCTAAAAACTTGGCAACATTAATTATTGTCTAGAGAGTTTTTTATTCATACATATCATGAAACTCTTAAGCATTTGAGAGGACAAATAACACTCAAAAGAGACATGTCAAATGGCTAGAGTTTGTTGAAACATTTCCCTGCATCATTAAGTACAAAAAGGAAAGAGAACATAGTAGCCGATGCACTCTCTATGCGCTATGCACTAGTTACAACCATGGAAGCAAAGGTATTAGGGTTTAACAATATTAAAATATAATATGAAACCGATCCAGACTTTGCAGAAATCTATAAATAGTGCAACAAAGGAGTTTCAGAGACAAGCGGTTATGAATTCCACAAGGGTCCATGCGTGACTTAGTGATGAGAGAATCACATGGATGTGGCTTGATGGATCATTTCAGTGTAGACAAGACCTTGAGCATTATAGTGGAGCACTTATTCTGGCCACACCTCAAAAGAGATGTAGAGCGATTCTGCTCCAAATGCTTCAAATCCAAATCCAGATCACATCATCATGGTCTTTACATTACATTGTCTATTCCTAACATGTCTTGGATAGATGTTTCTATGGATTTTGTACTAGGTTTTCCAAAGATAAGTAACAAAGACTCCATCTTTGTGGTGGTTGACCGATTCTTCAAGATGGAAAACTTATTTTTGTGGTGCAAATACCAATGATGCAACACAGACGACTGACTTATTTTTGAAGGAGGTGGTACGTTTACAAGGTCTACGGCAGACCATTGTATCAGACAGAGACACCATATTCCTCAGTCACATCTGGAAAACAGTTTGGAGAAAGTTAGGAATGAATCTACTCTTCTCCACTATATGCCATCCTCAAGCAGATGGGCAAACCAAGGTTGTAAACCATACCTTATCCACCCTTTTGAGGGCCACCATCGGTAAAAATTTGTAAAATTGGCTTGATTTTTTTGCCTTTTGTCGAGTTTGCTTATAATTGTGTACCACACTCTGCTACTAAGTTATCCTTTTGAGTTCGTGTATGGGTTTAACCCTCTTACTCCACTGGATCCTTCACCACTACCACATCATGAGCATGCAAGCCAAGATAGAGAAAGAAAAGCTGAATTTGTCAAGAAGCTGCATCTCAAAGCTAGGGAAAATGTTGAAAAGAGGACACTTCAGTATTAGATGCGAGCAAGTAAAGAGAGGAAAGAAGTTACACTCAAACCAGGAGATTGGGTATAGTTACATATGCGGACAAGTAAAGAGAGGAAAGAAGTTACACTCAAACCAGGAGATTGGGTATAGTTACATATGCGGACATGACTTTTTCCTAACCAAAGGAAATCCAAACTCCCACCTCGGGGAGATGGACCATTCAGGGTGCTAGAGTGTATCAACGATAATGCATACAAGCTTGAACTTTAAGGTGAGTTTAATATTTTGTCCACTTTTAATATCACTAACCTAGCTCCTTTTGATGCTGGAGAAACAGTTTTAAGGTCAGAACCCTTTCAAGAGGAAGGGAATGATGCATACATTAATCCTGAAGATACAATTTCCGCAATAAGATTACCACCAAATACAAGAGCCGGTACGAAGAGACTTCAAGAAGCGTATAACCAAGTCGTGGACAGTCTAACGAGCCAGCAAGCACTTAAAAATAGCATAGACCAACTTGAAAAATTAGCCAATACCCTAAAGGATCCTTCACGTGATGTATTTGAAGATCATGTCACTAGAGCTTATGATGATCCATACATGAAATTAAAATCATACGATGAAGCATGGCCGGTTATACCATCAACCTAAGGAACCACCTTGTTTACTATCAAACCGAGCTAAATCAAAGCCAAGAAGAGATCAAACCGAGCTTTCATATCTACTAATCCACCCACAATAAATCAAGGTAAGTCTTTGAATTATTTAAATTATATTTGACTAATTCCTTGTGTTATTCTTTGTTTGATCTTAACAGTTAATTCATTTAAATTGGCAATCTTCTTATTTATAAACTTTTGTATTGTTGCTTTAATTTTTCTCTTAGATTTTTGCATTGATTTCTTATAAAAAATTGGTTTTGGAATCTCCCAGCTCTTTGAACCATATATATAAATTTTCATCAGCTATGTATTTTTTATACTTGAATAATAATAAAAAAAACTTTTTTTGTTGTTTTTGACAAAATTGCAAACAAATTCGATTTTTTGGGATTGTGTGAGAAGCTTTTCTTTTTGAGTTCTAGACTTATCTCTGCTTAGTCCCATAAAGCTGAATGGCGTTTTTCAACCTCCTCATCCTTCTATCTCATCTACTGATCCAGCCTGAAAGAATCATTAGTCCAGTATCATTATAAGATCGTACCCTCTTGATTTTATATCAAGTTTCAGGATTTACCTTCTCTTCTAACACTAAGTTCTCCAGCCTATAATTACATATCAGGGAAGATCAAGAGACTGGTCAAAAGTCTGCGGTTAATTGTAAGAACCGATTTTTTACAAGAATAAAAAACATCCTAAGGCAAACCAATTCTGACTAAAGAAAGCAGAGTGATAAACTAACAAACGACAAGACGCAGAGGCATTGCACTGTACTCGGGCTATTTCACAACATGGATTGTTCAGCTTTTTCAAGACACTGATTTAGAGCTCTTATGTATTACTCAACAAATTTTATTCGGTTTTGTTATTTAGAGACGAACTCCGAGCCATGTACTGTTGCCCAACTTGGGCTTTCATGAATCCAGTTTGACGAGAAAAAGAAAAGAAAAACTTGTGGATTGACCTAAAAAAATAATAATATTAAGACTTGTGACACAAGGCACATTTCGATATGTTTATGCGCCTCTGTCGAAGTTCATTTTTGGTAATTTGACAATCCAAGAAACTTTGGACATCGAAAACTGTAATAAAATATCTTCCAGTCAATTCATTTTTTTATAACCAAGATCAGCAAATCCCAGTCTTAGTTTCCACTGATTCCAAGAGCGAACAACACCCTCGAGCCAGTCTTTAGTACCAGAAGTAGAAGACTTGGCTTTCTCCTTGTCCAGCTCATCTCTGAGATTCCACATCGCTTGCTCCAGTGAAAAATCTTTATCAGCAGAAGTAGCAGGTTTCACCCTCTCCTTGTTTAGCTCGATGTTGAGAGTCTCGATGTTTTCCTCGACTCGTAACCCATGAGGATCTTCTTTCTTTCTCTCCACAATAACCTCATAAAGCTTCTTCTTCAACCAGTCTAGGTTGAAGCCTGCCTCTGTTAGCTCGATCAAGTCTCTGTACGCGTTGCTTAGCTCAGTATCGGATAAGCTATGTGGAGGTTTGTCCAATGCCTCGATGTGACCAAGGAGGATATTCATGTATGTAGTCTTCACCAGTTGGTTCTTTGGTTTGAAATTTGTTGCAAAGTCCGGGTGCTTAGTCAAAAGCCGAGTCACTGAAACAAACTATCGACACGAGAAAGGTGTAATTACGTTAACCAGAATATGGAAGCAAAAAGAATACAAAGCATCCTTTTATTAGTCATACCTGAGGATAAAGAAGTTGGAAACCTTGGACATATAAGGTCTCGTTCCCAGTTACTTCCGATTCATCAACAACTTCAAGTACTTTCACTTCCACTTTAACTATCAGTTTGTTATTCTCCAGAAACCCTTTTTCTTGAAGCTTTTTAAGAGGCACGGCCTTTGCCAAACCCCATCCTTGGAGCTGAGCGCAGAACAATTGGCACCATAATTCTGTAAGACAAAACCAGAGAGATTAACCGAAATTTTCTTGCTCGACAATCAGATATATACAGTTTACGTCCGATAAGTAAATTACCATCTGTTCTGTAGAGAACTTTGCCTGATTGATCTAACAGAAGGAAGGAACATTTAGCTCTTCTTTTCCATCCAAGTCGCAATGATTCAGGATTGGCAACGTAGAGATTCAGAGACAAGTAACCTTCAGCATTGTCTCCTTTGGGATAAACGCCAACATACCTGAAAAGGGAAAGGAGACAGATTAACTAAACGCTTTAGTTATAAACATAATAACAGAGACAAGTTATACTTATTGAACCTAGAAGATGAGTTAAAAATCGAAACACACACTTTCATATAATTTTTTTTCACTTACCATTCGCAGCCACGGCTTAAGAATTTTGGAGATGCTATCACACCTTCCTTCTCGGAGAAGTTATCTATTTCAAACGTGAAACTCGTCTGTTTTTGATCCTTCATCAAATTTATCTGCTTTTGATCCTCCATATCGCTCCAAGACACTTTTCGCAAAAGGTGATTTTGATTTCTATCACAAACTTGCTTTTGATTCACCCATAAACCCGTATATATTTATCAACCTTTTTTAAATCCCAATTCAAAAGAAATAAGGAATTTCAGATGGAAAAAAAAAATGGAAAAAGGGAATTTTTTAAGCAAAAAAAAAGGAATTTACAAACTTTAAAAATATACTAGCTCCAGGTTGTGACTGCCTGCGGATGTTCTTCTCTTCACTGAAGCTGTGAAGATATTGGTTCCTTCTTTTGCAGATAAAACCGGGAGAGTTTCAGGTAATTCTGTGCTTTTTGAGTGGCAGATGCGTTTGAAACTGTGGCTTTCCATTAATCATCTGAAAGAGAAAGACTGATTCCTCTCCAGGATTTCTCACTAATCACGACCTCTCACAACTACAATGACCAGTCAAAGAAACCATTCGCCGCCGTGGATAGGCAGTTCTTGACGAGTTGTGACCATTCAAGCTTGGTCAAGTCATGGAGTTTGTGGTGTCTCATAAGGGCCCTTTTGCTTAAGTTGGTTCTGTTTGTGTGTTTCTCCGCTGATATATATTCTGAAAATTTGGTTTGGTTTTCACATGAAATTATGTGCTTTCTTGCTGATGAGCGTTGTAAATATCTTTGTCACGCAAAGAGTTTTTCTGTGAAAATAGCGATTAAAGATATATAACTTCTTCCAACTCCTAAACTCTCATCGCTGAGCTCTCCTGAAAAGAGTTTTGATTGGTTTAATACAATTAGCACCAGTGGTCTAGTACAATTAGAATAGTACGCTGCCACGGTTCACACCCGGGTTCGATGCCGAGCTGATGCAAAAGAGCTGTGAGGAGAGTGGCTCTAGCGATGGTTGGGTCCATCGCAATCCTCTGACTACTCAGAAGTGATAAAGCCTCGTCTGAGCTCTAAATTTCTTTTTTTATTTGTTTTCTATATGTATGAAGAAAGAAGTCAGCAACAACTAATTAACTGAGGAATGTTTTAAGAATCAAGTTTTATCTGTCACATCAAGCTATATCAAGAGTAAAAGTTTATAGTTTAATCATATCAAAACTTATCACCGATTATAGTGATCAAGAACAACGTACGTGGATTCAAAATGGAATGAAGAGCTTTCAAAACCTCTGAACATTGCAAAGAAGAAGATCTAAATTTCTTTTTTTATTTGTTTTCTATATGTATGAAGAAAGAAGTCAGCAACAACTAATTAACTGAGGAATGTTTTAAGAATCAAGTTTTATCTGTCACATCAAGCTATATCAAGAGTAAAAGTTTATAGTTTAATCATATCAAAACTTATCACCGATTATAGTGATCAAGAACAACGTACGTGGATTCAAAATGGAATGAAGAGCTTTCAAAACCTCTGAACATTGCAAAGAAGAAGATCGAAAGGTTGTACTTACTTGCGCATGGACTAATTCCTCTCCAGGGCTTCTGACTAATCACGACCTCCCACAACTACAGTGACCGGTCAAAGAAACCATTCGCCACTGTGGAGAGGCAGTTCTTGACTAGTTGTGACCACTCAAGCTTTTCAAGTCATAACTTAATTTGTCGGTGTCCCATAGGGGCCTTTTTGCGAAATTTGGTTCGTTTGTGTGTTTTTCGCTGATATATATTCTGAAAATTTTGTTTGGTTTTCACGGAAGAACTCTTTGCGTGACAAAGATATTTACAACGCTCATCAGCTAGAGAGCACATACTTTTTCTGAAGCCCTAAAACTTTTGTCTCTGCTTGTCGTTGACTGTTACAAGTTCAGACTTTTAACGGCAGCACTGAGAGAACTTCTTGAGAAAACAGAGGCATAAAAGGTGAAATTACCAATTATTTATAGCAGACTCCAAAAGCCATAAGGTTCTCTGCCTGCAAAACAAAGGAAACTTTAGAGTCTTAGGTGTGGTGATCATGTTGACAGAGGAATAGTAACGTTAGTTTATGAAAGACGACGAATGCTTGAATAAATAATTATACTGATGTATTCTTCTTATTTTTTTTATTAAAATTTTCAATATGGAAAGTTGCTGCTAATTAGGGTTTCCAATCAGAGGTATTTGATGGAGAAATTAATCAAAGAGGAGCACGTGAGAGTGGCATGTGCTAACTTAATTACCGTCCCTTAGGCTGATGCCCTTGACCTGTTCTTTAATGATCCCACATCGGATAGTTAGTACCCGAGACACAAGTATATATACCGTTGCCGATAATGGTTGGGATTACAACTCGTGGGACATGGTGGCTTGGGGTTAAACGGTTTGCTTAACCAAGAGCCCCAAGTGATCACAAACCGGTCCATACTCCTTTTAGTAAAGGGTCCTAGGGGCAAGCTTGCCTTTCGACAAGTGGTCTCGGTCCATCCTCGTGGACATATCGAGAGGTTGTATCCTCGTGCTCTGATCGCCGCCACAGAGTTCGAATAACTTCTTTAGATTGAGGAGACACAATCAACTACCTAAAAGAATCTGACTTCGCTAACAGTTTCGGTATTGTTTCTTACAAACTATACTGGGGAAAAAGATTACGTGAATATTAAAGACTTGTGCCACAAGGCACATCCCTATACGTTTATGGGTTCGATCTTTCCACCTACACAATCCAAGAAACTTTTGACATCGGAAACTGTAATAAATTGTCTTTCAGTCAATTTTTTTATTACCAAGATCAGCAAATCCCAGTCTTAGTTTCAAGAGCTAACAATACCCTCGAGGCAGTCTTTAGCAGCAGAAGTAGAAGACTTGGCTTTGCTTGTAGATCATTTGAGAATCGGCTTAACATATCAGCCAAACGAGCAGTGTAGTGCATCTTCTGAGCATCTGGGAACTCAGAGAAGTCTCCTTGGACAAGGATTCTTAGTAGAGATTCCTTTGCAGAGCCAATGATGTCCATCAACGCCATGAGTGCTTCACCTGTAGAAGCCATTACCACCGGAAGCTTGTTCAACTCTAACACAGCGGTTTCCATCTTCAGATCATGGTTTCTTGGATAAGGATTAGCTTCTGAGCGAAAACAGGGATGCCAACAATGTCATCATCGATCAAGCATAACATTGGATGAGTCCTGAAAAGCAACTCTTCTTGTATCCTAGCTTCTTCGTAGTAGGTCTCTTCTCCGATACGGTTTCGCACGCAGACGTAACCAAGTCCAATACTCACGTCATCTGCTGTTACTTTCTGCAGGAGACCTTCAGGAGTCCGTTCACCGGTTTTGTCAATGCCGAGACATGTGAATAGACTCGCAGGTGGTGAAGTCGACTGTAGCTGACAAAACATTAAGAATGATGGACTCTTGTGGCTCGATGTACTTCATAATCATCCCAGAGATCTGTTCATAGATGTTTTCAGGCTGTCCATTCACCAGAACTCGAATGATCCCAGGGAGATCAACCATGGTCAGATCAGGAACACCAGCCTTCTTCACAAGGAGCGTCAAGGGAGCGTCTGTAACGGCCCCGAACCTCGCTAGGTTCGCTGGGCTGGGCTATGGTCGGGAATGGGGAAAGACTTGTCGAATAAAACGAATTAACCTGTTCCATGGTCTGGAAGGAAGGGCTAAGTCCGGGAAAATTAGGGACTTAGCCGATGAAAGGAGTAAAAGATTAAAAAGGTCGGGAAACGTTAGCCCGGGGTGATCCAAAGTTAGCCTGGGATGATCCAAAGTTAGTCCGGGATGGTCCGAAGAGCTGAAATAAACAAGTCCGAGCTAAGCTCAAATACTCGAGCTAAAATGAGCTGAAGGGACCGAGCTAAACCAGTTTGGGCAGCTGATGGGTTTTAGCTGAAGGACCGAGCTGAACCAGCTCGGGCACCTGATGGATTCCCAGCTAAAAGACCGAGCTAAATCAGCTCGGGCAGCTAATGTTGAGCTCGAGCAGCTAGACAAAGTGACGGTCGGTTGAGTCAGCTCGAGAACTATTATCACTAGCTGGTTGGCTAGTGAAGCTAGCTGATCAGTTAGCTGAGTCAGCTGGGTGGCTGGCGAGTGAATGATCGGTTAAGGGAATGATCTCGCACGTACTAAGTGTGTGGCACGGTTATATCCAAACGGATATGACCGTTACCGAATGGGAACGTGGCACCCGTCGGTTTAATAAAACGGTTATGGGTGAAAATCCTATAAATAGTCCGCGGTCATCTTCTTCGCGGACACACAATCTTTTCATGGGATTTTTCCTGAAAACACAAAAAATATCCGAGAAAGATGAAGATTAGCCGAGGGATAAAAGAGATAACGCCGGACGTACTTAGCGATTGTCGGGTAACGAGGGAATCGCCAGACTACGAGTGAGAAATCTCCGAGAGAGAGACTTACCAAGGGACGTTCCAGCGATGGAGTCTTCTGCGGACAAGGATCGGGAGAGACACACCGAACCATCCGAATGTACGGCAAAGGTGAGCGCGATGCCGAGTAACTTAGCCGAGAAAATCCCTAACTATCGGCTATAGCCGAGACAGTATGGGACGGTTATCCAGTTATTCGGCCAAACTCTCTCTTACATCAGTTATATTCTTATATCTGCTTGCGGATGTGGATAGATCGATCAATAGATGATCGGATCCAGGTTGCGTGACTAAGACTTCAGTCTGTCACGCCGGTCAGGACAGTTCTCGATAATCTCGGCTATTTTCCAAATAGTCGCAGATATTGGTGAACAGTTATGACTAAGGCATATAGTCGAGTACGACTGGAAGGAAATCGGCTACCCGGAGGACTCGGGGACTCGTGGATCAAGCAAGTGGCTTGGGGATCAGACAGAATCCGCCAAGACTCGACTGTGGCCGAGAGATAACTCGGGTTTTTCCTAGATAGCCGAATGATTAAGGGATTTCTATGGGATAAACTTAAGGTTCGGGAACATATAGTCATTCATAGGTGATTTTGTATAACTAAGAAAAGGTTGGATTACTTACGCCTCTTTAATTTCAGGAAAGGATGGTGATCGTGGGAAGAACTTGGCCTAGATGCGCGAGACAAGGGCT